CTAATAGCTCCTAAATACCTAAATACTTTTTACTTGAGTATTTAGCACCACTCCTAAATACCTAAGTAAATAGTACTTGGGTATTTAGCAGCTCCTAAATACCTAAGTAAATAGTACTTTGGTATTTACAACAACACAAAATACCTAAATACTTTTTTACTTAGTACTTAATACTTAGTAAATACAATTTTGCCCATCACTGGTTCATTGTACTTAGAAGCCAATAAATAATTTTATATTTATGAAATTTTTTAATAGAACTAATGCTTTCCATCTTCAGTGTTTAAATAGTCAAAAAATTCTATATACTTAATTTTAAAATTACTTTTAATTTGAAGTTCACTTTAAACAATTTTCTCTCTCTCTGCCAGGAAGCACACTTTATACTTAAGATCCTCTCAGCTGCTTCATTTGAGTATGGTATTGAGAAACAAAATTACATATTTGTGCAAACTGTGGAAAAACACCACAATTTAAAGACTTTATCTATAATTCCTCATGGCTTGAATTAATATTTTCAACTACGCAAAAACTTTGAAAGACTAAGAATTCCATAAAAGATTAGGTATTTAACTCTGTGTCTTGAATGCTAAACTCTTTTACAATGTCAGTAAATTGTAAAAAAAGAATTGTTAGTTATAGGAAAAAGCCATTCGAATACTCAAATTTCTTGTTGTTAAAATTACAGTTATTCTCCAGATAACGACAAAAAAACCCCAGCCTTCTTTTTAAATATGCAATTTAAGCTTCATCATAATATCGCAACTGGTAAATACGTAACGATCCGGCTACATGCCCATAAAATAAATTTTTGTGTTATTAGTTTCCTTATGTATGCCGGTGAAGCTATCATTGCAGGTAAATCGCGAACTAGTGAATCAAATTTCTAGTTCCGCACTTGATCTTTATCGCCAAAAACGAACAAGTGCGATGGTAACTAGATCCCAACCAGTCCAAAATCGGCGAAATGTGGTACTTTAAAAAAAAAACTATTTTATTCCACTTTTTTCATTAGAAACCTATATCTAAGGTGCCGAATTTAGAACTGGTTCGTAATTGTTAAAAAAAGCTATACAGAATGAACTGGATCATATCTGTCGAATTTAGAACTACAAAGTTCGGAACTGTCGGCAAAGGGATGCAGCGAGTGCTCGTTTAATTTACATAGAAATGTGTTTGGTGGCTTTTCGTTCAAATACGCTTTAATTCTGCACTTCGCAGATTCTTTTTCATAGTTTGGTAATACAAAATTTGTGTTACATTTTAACATCGGGATCGCCTGTAATCTAATCAATAACAGCGAGCACCTCTGCAACAGCTACGGCCAAAGGTTTGTAAATGTAAATTTATTACAAGCATTCAAAAAAATTTAATTTCAAATTGAAAACACGTTTTCATTTAGAACTGTGGGTAATTGACACTGCCTAGGACAGCGCCATGTTAAATTCGCCAGTTGTTTGCATGCAATAGAGATTTATCGCGAACCAGTACTGGGTCTAAATGCACTAGAAGCGTATCAGTTCAGAACTAGGGATTTTCCCCACAGGGAAATAAAATAAAATAAAATTTTCCGAAATAAGAGCAATCATACAATTCCATACTTGCGTAAACAAGTCTAATCATTACAATAAAATGTTGTCTGCACGCTTAGTTTTGTAGCATTTTACGACAAGCGGACGGGAAAAAGTGAACCTTCGGAATTCCTTCATATTTGTTAGGTAATTGTACTCATGCTAGGTATGAAAGTGTGCACAAAATTTTTCAGTTATTAATAGGCAATTTTATGGTTTGTGGCAGGGTTGGCGAACCAGAGGCGCGCGTGCTACGCGTCAAAATAATTTTGATACAGAATTAATTGAGGACTCAATTGCTCAATTACTAGTACATAGTAGTACTAGTCACTACCCATTCGGAACAATTTATTTTTTCATTTAAATTGGAAATCAAAGCAGAATAGCAAAAAATACAGACAGTAACCAACAAAATCCACAGAACACATTCGATTCTTGAGTTCCTGTGCATCATTTCGCCATCCTTTTATACCAAAACCCAGAATACCATGCGTACACGGAAACCACATTTTTTACAATTTCGATTGCATTAATTTAGAGTTAAGTAAAGTATAAAAAAAATTTCCAACTCTATTTCCGAAATTTTTCATTTTTACACATTCATGTTTCTGGTATACGGCGCTATGGGCTTCTGAAGAATAGTCAGAATTAAAATTATGTTTTTTTTTAAAGTAGTTTTTCGTACCGAATAAAAGTTTCACAAAAATGTAGCCTTAGGTACAATAAAAATACCTTATATTTAATTAATATAAAAAGTCATAGAGTGAAAATAAACGAGAAAAGCCAAGAAACCTGTGGATCAGTTCGGTATCTCATTATCTCTAAAAAATGTTTTTATCGCCGAGAAGAAATTGCCGAGTAATGCCTGGCAAAAAAGATTTTACTAACTTTACGCTAAAGTAGGTTTCATAAAGATTTTTTTTACTTTAAGGCCCAAACAATGTGCCCTCGCTGGTGACCCAGGAATGCGTTTGGTATGTGTTTGCCCAGGGATGGTAATAACAATTAGAAGTAAAATAATTTCAACCAGCATTTAGTAATTATTTTATGATTTTTAATTTTTCCATTCAAAAATAATAATTATTGTTAAGCTTTATTTGTTGCTCAACAGAAATTATTATTACTTGATTTTGGGCTTTTTCGGTCACAAATAATAATTATTTTATAATTTTAATTTTTTCGCTCAGAGAAAAAAATTATTACTGAATTCTATTTTTCCACTTAGCCACCCATACAGACGCAACCAACCGAAACCTTGACCTCTGACTTATTCTTTCCGTAATGGTGTCGCTACCTCTGAAAATATACACACATCGGAATTAACGCCACTATAGCATTTGAGTTTTTAGAATAAACATTGCTATTAAGTGAAAAAATAAAAATCAAATATTTAATTTATTATTATTTTCAATTTGTATTGGCTAAACTCGAAAAATATAAGTATTTTATAATTATAACAGAATATACAAAGAAACATATCTGGGTGCGATCGAGTGTTTTTTTATGGCACTTGGAACATTCTGATTTTTTAGATTAAAATTTAAAAAACGATGATTATTTTCCGTCCGTGGTTTGCACCTACCACCAAACTTGAAATCTAATGTTGGATGATAGAGACATTGGTAATCTTACAACTGGAACTTTTTTCTTATGGAAATTGCCTACGCAAGATGATGAGTCTCAATCCAACGCAGACGTGTCCTTTAATGACTGCAAAAAAACCCCCAATCAGCTACCAATGACGAAAACAATCACCACATATATGTAGCATTAGTATATAATTCAACTACAAATTTCGTTGCCAATTAAAGCATGCTAAAATGTGTATGCAGAACTCACGCTGATTTGTATGAATTTTTATTACTAATATCAATAATAATTTTCGTTTGTTATCGCAATAATTGGCACCTATATTCAAACATAATTTGCAATTTTACCACATAATTTTAAAACGAAAATCCTATCCTATGACTGATAAGTAGGAACTCTAAAAAATGTTTTGAAATTAAATATTAGACAATCAAAGTATTGTTGTTTCAGTGCAAAAATGTAGTTCTCAGTGCGCGGTGGTGGCCGGCAGCAGCAAAAGCTAGAAAGGTGGCATTAATCGGTGAACAAATATGTATTTGAAGAATCAAAAAATTATTGGCGGTGATAAACAAGATGGGTAAATATGTACAAAAATGCGTATAAAAAAAAAATCAAAATGTTTGTCAATAACCCATCTTTTTCGAGTTCAAAAATTGTAGTTTTCCTGATAGTATTGCCTGGACTGTTGATTCTAGCACCTAAAACTGATGGCGCCAAAATACTCGCAGTCTACATAATGCCAGCTAGAAGTCACTACCAGATGCTTCGAACTCGGAAACGGGTCAAAGTTAAAACAGTAATTTGACAGATGTTAAGAGACATTTAGTAGAAAGTGGAGGCGTGGCGTTAGATAAATTGACAGTTGATTTGACAGCTGTCAATAGTCAAACTATAAATTATATTGCATTTGCGGATTAGGCATGAGAATAATACTACAGTTTTATTAAAATCGTAACAATACTTCGCGTAACAGTTTTTCGCGTTAAACATGGCCTCTCTGACCACTGTGTGTTGGCATGTACTACATATGTATGATTGTCGGATAGTAGCCAGTTATGGACAAGTGGCCACAATTCACACTTTTCAGCCTCTTTCGGTACACTTCACTGAATTTAGGTACAAAGCATTTCTGCAATAAGGTTTTCCATCAATAATTTATATAATGTATCATCTATCATTCGCATACAAACGAGTTTGCATCATTTAGTTAGAATATTTTATTCTATCGCTAAAAATATAAAAATAGGGCGTTAACGTCCTTAGAAATAGTGAATATTTATTTATTTATTATTATTTTTTTTTGCAAAATGGGAACGCCTATCAAAAGTTAATATTACCCTATCATAGACTACAAACAACATCACAGTAGATAACTTTCTGAAAATAGCTTATGACTAAGCATTCACATACATACATACGGTTATCTCTTCAAATAGCTGTGACTTAAATATAGGATACAACAACACCAATAAAATACTAATCTTACAGTTTATCAAAAAGCCTACGGATTCCCTGAAGATGGAATTGGCTTCACTTGGCATTTCTAATTGGCGTCAGTTGGCAGAGAAGAGAAATGATTGGCGTGCTGTTTTGGACTCGGCCAAAATCGCCTAGGTGGTTAAGCTTTAGATTGTGAGATTCTGGTTCTAATTGAACAAATCACATCACCCCTCCCCGCCGCTGTGCCTACAACAGAAAATGTAAAAAATGTATCACACAATTTTTTCTTTAAATAACTAGTGTTTGAAGTGTCAAGTTTTAGTTTTAGAGTGCGGTGGGTCGAGGCACGCAAACCCAAAAAAGTAAAAATACATTTGTGAATTAGTGAAGAAATATATGTATTCACTTTGGTGGTGTTGAATAAAAATGGTGATTATAATTTAACGTGGTTGTGATTTTCAATTAGATTTCTTAGAAACATTCTGAGTATACTGTAACCTATTCCATTCAAAGTGGAAATTTTAAATAGCTCGAATTTACCGTTGATCTATGGTAAATTTTGTGGAAGGTGTTGCCCGTTTTCTCCATAAAAAAAAATTGTTGAACATACTGTGTATGGAAGAAGATGCGCGATCAAAAAATTGCCAAATATCAACGTTAAGTCCAAGCTTCTACCAACTTGCATTTTATTATACTAAAATTTAATGGGCTTCAAAATGTAGCATACTCAAAACACTTCTAGAAAATCTGATTAAAATGTTTCAAATTGTGATGAAACGTAACTCAAATTCGTCTAATTTTTTAAATGTTCTAAAATTTTGAAATTTTGATTTACATATTTTTTTAGATAGTAAGTTATATTTTGTTTTGTTTTAAATAAAACTGTATTAAGCCATTTTTATTCTAAAAACAAAATTGTATGTTCGGATTCGATGCTTTAGAGATGCCCCGATTTTTGGCCCAGAAATCTCTGCCTTTTCCGTGGCTTTTTTATTAACGAAAACAAGTCATTCAATTTCGATATATAATTTAATAATTAGAATCATTAACCTTTAGATAATAGCGCTAATATTTTCTAGTTCAAAAAAAAGGATAAAATACCCAATTTGTTCGGATGTCTGTGATCAAATGACTTTGAGTTTTTTAAGTTGCAGCTATGCTAACAGCGACGACGACTAAGAGCTGGTTTTCACTATGTCAAATTTTGACGGCAAAATTTGTCGTCATACTTTGCACGATTTTATCTCATTTATTCATATCTTTTCCGATTACATATATTATTGGCCAAAAGCGGATAGATAGTCAAATTAGCAGTGCATATACGCGACTGTAATCATATTCTGACCTAAATCAATCGATAGACCGTTTTTTAGTCCAATTTGACAATTTGTTTTCACTTATTTGGCGACAAATGTCATTGGATTTTGGCATTGTGAAAACCAGCCTTAAAACGAAGCTGGTGGTGTTGATGGTGGTCAGAGCTTCTCTAGTGTCAGCTTGGAAAGCATGTGACGTATGAAATGCGTAAAGGCTTTGTTCTCGTTTTTAATTCGATGATGAGCTGATTAGCAGCCAAGAAAACGGTAAGTAGGGAAAATGTTGAGATAAGATGATTGACAGTTGCTTTTCGACGATAAATAAGCAGTTACGAAAACAGGAGCGGCGGTGAACATAGTTTTTGGGGGTTGATCGAGCGCGATCAGCAGGGGGGATCACATGATTTGTACAGATTTGTACATATTGGCAGTCACAGAGTGGTATTGTCTACAAATTTTTATCTATCCAAATAACACCACTCTGTTACTGAGACAATGTACAAATGTACAAATCGTGTGATCCCTGCTTTAGGAGGCGAGACATCAGCATAGTTAATGGCGTTCATAGCGCACGTGGACGAGACGTTAAGGAGGGAACCATGCATTTTATTTTCTAATTAAAAAGATATTTGGGGTATTTTCGCAGTCTTGCCAATACCTTGTACGGTTCATGGTTTGCAAAGCTGTGCCATAGGAAACCCGGCTTTTAGCGTGCAAGGGCTTTGCAAGACACCGAGAATAACCCTATAGTAAACACACGCTCATACATACATATATGCCCGTTACTATTTAAATATTATTTCGATACATCCACTTATGTACCTATGAACATATTTAGTGTTCCAGAATTCTCGTCGGCCTACTGGCACTCGCTATGCTTGCGGCTCAAGCACCTTCAACAGATGGCGCCAGAATACTTGCAGTCTACGCAGCTGAGACCGTAAGTCACTACCAGATGCATCGAACTCTGATTAGCGAGTTAGTGAAACATGGACATGAGGTATAAGCAGCAGCCTCATACTATTTTATTATATAAACTTAAAAACGTTTCTGGTTAGTACACCTTTAGGTCACCATGATAACCGCAATCACGCTTGAACCACTCAAATTGGGCAGCAACTATACAGAGATACTCATTGAACCAGCGTTTGATTCATGGAAGTTCGGTAAAATTTTATGGCCTATTCAAACTTTAATTACTATAGTACATACGTACATATATATGCATATCTGTATGTACATACATACATGCTGTCTCGTTTCAGTTAAGGAAATTATCGGGAAAAAACCGAACCTAGAAATGGAAAATAGTTTATCGACTTATTTTGAAATCGTAAAGTATGTGGCTGTGCTGGGTAACGAACACACGTTAAAGCAGCCAAAAGTGCAGGCTCTTATAAATGCCAAAAGAACAGAAGGCGTTTACGATCTGCTACTGGTAGAGCAGTTACATCAAGAAGCCTTTCTCGCCTTTGCCCACGTCTATAAAATACCCGTTGTTAGTTCAGCCACATTTGCGCAACAAAACTATATGAGTCAAATGTTCGGCTATGTGACACCTTGGTCGTATGTGCCTATGGAATATCTAGCATTTTCTGATCGCATCAGCTTTTGGGAACGCGCCCTAAATAGCTTTTGCTCACTTCGCCTTGATTTATTCCGTGAATTTGAGTATTTTCCGAAAATGGATGCGCTTGTGCAGAAATACTTTGGGCATATGCCAAGTAAGATATATTCGATTGATCATGATTTGATTGGTTATCTCACTACTGTTATAATTTTCTGACTTTACACAGTTGAATTCCCCAGTGTTTCGGCAATGGAGAAGAATCACTCTGCTATATTAATCAACAATTACACACCATTAGCCTTCGCTGAACCTAAAATGGACAACATGATTTTTGTCGGCGGCTTGCACATCAATCCACCAAAGCCACTACCCACCGATTTGCAGAAATTCTTAGATGACGCAGAACATGGGGTTATTTACTTCATCTTTGGTACACAAGTTAAGTCCAAGGACATGCCACCAGAAAAGCTGGACGTATTTCTCAAGGTCTTCCGCCAGTTGGAGCAGCGTATTTTATGGAAATTCGAAAACAGCAGCATACCAAATTTACTAGCTAATGTTATGATTAAGGACTGGTTGCCGCAGAATGATATCTTAGCACACGCTAACATGCGCGTGTTTATCTCCCATGGAGGGCTCTTTGGGTTACAAGAAGCTGTCTTTCATGGTGTACCGGTAGTGGGCATGCCTTTCATGTTCGATCAGGTGAACTGAATATTAGCAAAAAAAAAATACGAAAATTTAGCTCTTGATTTCTTTTTACTAATCTTCTTTTCTTCACCAGCGATTAAATCTGAAGAAAGCCGAGACTGCTGGATTTGCCGTTACTTTGGATTACCATACGCTCACTCATGATGATTTCAGGAGCGGTCTGAATGAGGTGCTCTTCAATCCCAAATACCGGGATAATGCTAAACGGTTCTCGCGCATTTTCCGCGATCGTCCCATAGGTCCGCGCGAGACTTTAATCTATTGGATCGACTATGTGATACGCCACAATGGAGCGCGTCATTTGCGCGCTGCTGGCATGGATTTGAAGTGGTACCAATTCTATTTACTGGATGTTGCTGCCCTAGTTCTGGTCGCGCTTTTGTTAGCATTCGCAGTTTCTGTTTTTACAATACGATGGATCTTGCGAAAGATAAGGGGTGGCAAGGGTAAACAAAAGGTGCAGTAAGCATAAAAAAATATTGAATAGAGTTGCGTTAAGGTATCGAACACGTAACAAAAAGGATTGCGATAAGTTATGTTTTACACCTTTTTTCTTAATAAAATAGCTTTTTATATTCAAATACATATTTTGTAAGATGAAAAAAAGATGTCTAGTTGGTTTTACTGGATTTTGAAAATACTTTTAATTTTACAGCTGAGAGAAGCCCGATTTGACGTTGCCTTTGACTGAGAACCGATTCAGATATGTTTGAAGTATTAATGTTTTATACAGATGTATATTTTCCCGTTTTTTTCGTACCAACGGTAGACCCAGTCCTAAGTCACCCAGCATGTCCTTCTCCGGAAGACTGATGGTATTCGTGCTGTTGCTGGCCAATTCGTCAGCTTTGCAGTTTCGCTCAATATCTCGGTGTCCAGGCACGCACATGCATTGTATTCTATACCGATCTGAAATCTTGTTTTGAGATATGTGGCATTCAGTGTGTTGTGTACGCTTTCGGGCTGCTAAACTGTCAGAAGAAAAATACATGTCGTTGGACAGCAGGTCTTTTGACCGGGTTCAGAGTAGCCTCCTGAATAGCCAGCACTTTCGCATTGTATCACCAGAGTTGCCAAGAAACCGAAGAGATATTTTTAGTTCCAGCCGAAGGGAGAAGACTTCTCCACCAACCTTTCCGTCGAGTTTAGAGCCTTCTGTATAAATACGTCTTGATAGTATTGCATGTGTGTTGTGCTAATCTTGGCGAGTTGGTATGGTATTTTTGTCGTTTTTACTCAGTATAGTAGATGGTATGTAGTAACTAGTAATTGCAGGTTCGGTGTGGGTCACTAAAAGTTCCATGTAGCCAGGCGTACCATGAGTCCAAGAGCTTGTATTTCTGGGGATTAAGGAGGAAATAACGGGTTTTCGTTGAGCAATTATGGTAAGCGGAGCCAGATGTAGAGCTTCTCTAAACTGGATAATGCTGCTCTAATGACCC